GAATTATAGGACTATCAAACGATAGTCAATTCGACACCGTTTTTTTACAGATATTAAGTAAATATTTGTCTTTGGTGGACATCTATAGTCCTTTACGCATACCAATAAGTCAACTTCAGTTCCGTCTCGGACTGCAGTGATATATAGTACAATACTTGCTTCGAAAACTTTCAAAACACGCTTTTACGGAGTGTAATTTTTTCAAGTGATCGAAAATAAAAATAAATAAAAAATTTAAAAAAGTATAACGTGCAACAATCATTTTATAACTTGCATAGAAACACAGTCGTACCTCGTCGTGAAGTAAGGGCAAAATGGCCGTGATAGCGGTAATTTATTGTTAGCGCACATAACACTATGAGGGATTTTGATTTTTTCGATTAACTGCAAAAATGACATGATTTTGTTTTTTTATGTATTCATTCTTTCAGATTATTACTTTTCATGCCGGTCCAGTAGTATCTACGCGGAAGAAGTCGCAAAAAAAGGCTAGTCATAGCATAAATTACTAAATCTTTATCAATTATGATCAAACATAAAATAGAAATAATTGCTGATAAAAAAGTACTAACATAATAAATTTGGTTTATGAAATCTATCTCTGTCTTCCGTGTACGACACTGGGCTATAGTACAAGAAAAGATTGCATTCACTTATTCATTCATACAAAAATACTTATACTACCATTATCTATAATACTATACAAATTTCTGGTGTCAGTTCGTTTGTTTGCTCAGGGTAATGTCCGGAACAGCTGAACCGATTGCGACTAAATTTTGTAAATATATAGAGGGCATTGTTGGGAAGGTTAGAGGATAATTTTTGTTTACATAAATTGTTTATAACAATTGAATTTGTTACAGAATGAACTCTTTTGACCATTCAAATACTTTTTTACCATCTTTAACTTCTATTTGTCCATCGGCTTCGTTATCAACTAATTTTTCCTTTTCAGAACTAAGCCAATCTAAATCACTACCTAAGTTATTGACATTGTGTTGCTGTTTAATTTCTATTTTTTTCACAGTTTTCTGATTTTTTTTTTTCCTTTTAATTGATACTTTTATTCATCTTTCTTCTTATTCGTCTTTTTGGGTTTTTTTATCGATTTTTTGTGACATTCTGGTAATCTTCTGTACACTCCATTTGTATGTTTTGATCAACACTTTTTTTGTTAGCTATATTAATATATTTGAAAATTAATTTAAACTTATTTAAAAGACATCTAACAATCTTGATGAGTGACATACGAATAACGGTAAAGAAAATAAAAATATAAGACCCCCAAAAAAAATACACAAAAATTTCTAAGAATTTTTCTCGTGAAAACCTCCACATTGTTTTGTTATTCATTTCAGCGAAGTCTAACAAATGAACATAAATATGGCAGAGACTAAGTTCATTTACATCGAGTTTTTTTATTATAGCTTTTTTCCGCTAAAGAATTTCTTCTCTTAGACCTATTTCGTATAAAGAGTACGAAAGAAAGCATATCATTTCATTCGTTTTATATGATTTATTTTATTCATGTGTATAACAGATATTATGATTATTATTTTTCAATTTTAGTTGCGCGGTACAAATATACTGCCACATTTTCTACGAGTTCTGACTCGGTCGTAGGTGTTCTGCCGACGACCTGACATTTTTCTCCTCACTGAATGACCAGACGAATCAATGAGTCTTCTGCCAACTCATGTTTGCAATTAGACTACTCTAATTAATTCGTTGGCGTAGATATCTCTTCTCGAGGACCTAGAAGCTTCAAGAAAATAGATTTTCCAGGTGATACAGTCTGTATTGGTCAGTACCCCTCGGTTACTGCTAGTTCTACTCTGTGTCCGTACTCGGTGTACGTCTGAACGACTCTTGGTCATCATCGGACAATGTCCACCCACAGACAACTTGGTACGTGTGTACTAGCAGACAGCTCACGTAGTCAAACTCTCTGGTAAAAACCCAGACAACTTCTCAGAATATCCCTTTAGAAATAGAATAACTCGACAGTCAATCATCCACAGTGATGATTGTGAACTCATTATCTAGTCTTTCTCTCATCAGACATCATCGCTAAGCTGAAGTTGGTCCGACTCAGCATCTGCGTTGCAAACGGCGCGAACGATGTCGGCGATTTTGAACAAAAAAAATAGTACAGTAGAACTTATAAGAGGCATTGAAAATTTAGATACTATCAATTTGAAGCTCAATTATGATTATGAAAAAAAAATTCTGCCTAAAAAAGTATTGTAGTTACAGAACGGAGAACTTCTGACCTTGTTACTGTTAACGTGAAAATTATGTGCTGTATTCACTTGAAAAATGATTCGTTTTTAGCTTCTATTGAATCACTTACTTTCTGTAAAAAATCAAAGGTATCAAACAGTCAATAGAACACAATAATCATACAGAAATTGCAAGATTCATATTACCTCTACGATAATAGGGTTTCATCAATCCCTTGCATCGAAAGTTTTTAGCAGTAGCCATCAGTATAATGGATTGGCACGCAAATAAAATAATATAAAATAGAGTATTTTGAAAATAATCATAATAAGTTAAAATTATCACCATCCACAGGGACTACGGATTCAATGTTCTAAGCGGGAAAAAAAATTTTTCAAGCCCAACGATCCTTTATTATAACAAGTGCACTTCAAGAAAAAATATCATTTAAATTTATAAAAAGAAAAACATATTATATTGCCACTTACATTTCATAAAAGTTGAACATCAATAAACGAAGTTTAGACAATCACTATGCTGTTTTTCTTCTATACTATCGATTCACAAAAATCAAACAGGTGAAAGTGCTGAATTCACATTTCAAAGAAATTCTGTTTTATTGTGGTCATTGATATGGAATTAAGTCATTGAAGGAATGAATACAAATGCATAATTTAAAAAACATTGAGGAATGGTGAATTCGAAACTACTAAGTGTGAAAATTTTTGAAACATCGAGAAAATTGGCCCATCCTTATTAAGTAGCTACTCAAAAGTTTAGTCCTAAGTTTATTTTGACGTCTATCTATCAAAAATAACTGTTTTTGTTTATCATGATTGAAAAACATGATTATTTTCACGTTTTTGATTGTGATAGATTTCCTATTCTTACATGTTTAAAATAATATATACTTCCTGTTAAATTGTTTTTGAAGTAGCAGTGTTGGTTGATTCTGTGTCTACATAATAAGCTTGTCATTGCCATTGACCATTGGATAAAGTTCTTAACAATAATTTAATCAACATTGTAAGAGTTCATATAGATGGTTTCTAACAAAATGTATATATGCACATTCATATGGTACAAAAATTTTATTTCGTGTTTTGTTATTGAGAAACATACCGTTTAAAAGTAATTTGAAATTAAAGGTGTCAAAAAGAATGCTGTTGAAGGATGATACTATAGTTTGCCTCAGCACGAAAATATATGAATAATTTTCTGTGGACCGATTATGTAAAGAAAACATTATACATGTTGACGGAAAATCAATGATTCTTAATTTATCCAAAAATTGACGTAAAGAAAAGGATATATCCACATTCGAATCAAAACATTTCACATTATCTCTTTCTATCGAAAATCATAACTGTTCTTGTGTCATGAGTGTTGGTTGAATGTTTTTCATTTTCTCGAATTTTATGATACTTTTTATCAGAAAATTTACTTCATTTGTTTTTTATTCTTTTAGTTATAAATAGGAAATAGCTAAATGCTCTTGCCAAACTCTGCAATATGTTTTGAAATGAATCAAAACGTAAAGATCTGATGGAATTACGAATTTCGAAAATCGCTATCATTACAATATCTCTCTAAAGTGAGGTTAATAACATTTGTATAAAGCAAAAATCTTGTGTACATGCATATGCGTAAAGTTCTCGATCATAGTCTTTTTTTATAAAAGATAACATGATAGGTACGCAATCAAGAACAGATCAAGAATTTATAATTAAAGTAATTGGAACATATACTATTATTAAAATACACTTCTCTCAGATTTATTTATTTACACAGACTTTTTTCTATATGAAGCTTACACCTGATCTAACCTTCAGCATTCGTATTCTCTATCTGACCTATGGCTCCATAAAGTAATATGGAAGGCTTCAATTACAGTTGTGAATAATAAGGAAGCAATAGTTACGGCCTATTCTCAACCTTAATTTCAACGATCGGAATAGGTCAGAATAAGGTTAACAGGAAGTAAAAAATGTGAGCAATATGCCGAAGACAAAAAATTTTTTTTGAATTCGAATTACTTACAGTTAGTTATTTATAAATAACGGGAGCACTCAAAATGTTATCTGCGAATATAAACCATGGAATAGAGTCAAAAAAGAAAATTTTCAATATGCAGACTATTTGATATATTTTGAAAAAAAAAAAAAGATTTTCTTCCAATACTAAACGTATGATTTAATCGTTCGAATCTATCTACTACTGCTTATCACGCATTATCAGCGATAAAAATATAGGAATGTGATGATATAGCTTCACTTTAAAGCATAAAAGAATTTCCATTTCATATTATATATTATAATATCTTATTAGTATTCTAAGTAGGTAAAAAGCATTTTTTTTCACGAAGTTATTATTTTATCTATTTTGCCGATGAATCTGGACACAATATAATCTAATATATTTATTAAAACTGACACTGAATATTACAGTGTTTCTCACCAACAACAACAAAAACGGGATTTTATTAGCAGATAATGTAGTTCCTGATAATCATCATTTATTTTACGATTCAGGGCGTTCATTGTTTGTTAAAAGTATCCGTTGAAATTGGATAATTTAGAAATTTTTTTTTATTAGTGAATAAGGATTTTTATTTATCAATAAGTTACAATAAAATATTGGGAAACAGTTATTTTCGAACCTTACGAATATCATTTTTTTTATTATTACTATTGGAATCATTATAGTAAGTGCTCAAATTAACACACATATATCAGTTATTCCAAGAAAAATAGTATTGATGTTTATCAAATATTTACTCTTGTTTGGAACGCTGCTGGATGTTGTGCTGTGTTGATGGGACACAGAATAATTTGAGATGTGCTGTTTCTTCCACAAACGATTCTGACGTTCATCGGAAGATCTTTTAAGATTGCAACGACATCCTTATGATTTATACCAAGTAACTTCATTCCGTTGACCTAAAATCATAATGTGAAGTTTTCAAAAAAAAAAGTAATTGAGAAATCGAAGAGAAACGTTTATTATGTTTTTTTTTTTGTTGAAAATTTATCATAATAAAAAATCAAAACTTTAATCAGTAAAACGTGTATTGAACATAACATGTTCTTTTTTATCTTCATGCTGCAATAGTTCTAAAACTACGACAGTACAATCCACGTTTTATTGAGACAAGAACGAAATAGAGTCTTTTCTGTCAATTCATTATAGTCCAGTAATAGTCCAGTAGCAGTGCAATTTCATTAGCGAATTCAACCTCCTATTTTGAACCGAGGTTATTTTATGTAAAATTGCACGAGAATTCTGAAGAAACTATTCGCAGGCAAAAAAAATGTACGCGTCATTAGGTTTTTTTGTTATAAACAATTTTTGCTCAGCTTTGTGGGATTGTGATCAGAAATAATAACTAAGAAAATAGAGAGTTCGAGCTTTTCAGTATTGTTTAATAATTCTTAATGATTCATTAAAAGATCGTGTAAACTATAACGATAACTTTATTAAAATAGCATGAAGAGATTTTTGTTGAAATTGTTTTATTCTATTTACTGAGAAGTTATCATACCTCTGCAGGCGTCATACGCACTTACACAAGCGAGTTTGTTTTTGTATGTATCTTGTGTGTGCATGTATCCGTAAGCCAAGATGTCATTCATTTCAACTACAGTTGCGTCTTTTGCTCTAAAAACTGCCACTACTAGATCAATAAAAAGTCGTACTTACAAAAGTCCATTCCGCCTACAGCTCGAAAGATGTAGAAAGAAGTGTCTACTTATTTAAAGTAATCAGTAAGAAAACTGATGGTGCAGTTATCATTCAAAACAACTGATACTGTTGCATCGAATACTTTTAACAAACAACCTTTGAGTCAAAAATATGATAAAACTGGAAGTGTTTCGTCGTAATTCATGTACGGAGTCTAAGAAAACCGATAAAAAAAAATAGACCTTAGATTGCTATTCAAGTTAGCAGAAAATTGAGTAATTGTGTTATAAACTTTCACTGCATTAAAGCAATGAGTAGAAAGTGTTTTTCTATCCAGCTGGTGCAGCGAATGACGCTGCAGTAGATCAGCAAGTAAAAGAATTTAACGTAAAAGCAATTATACCCAACTATATACTCTGCAGAAGAGGTGTTATAATAAATATTCCGTATGATTTGGAAATTCTAAGACTTATTCAGATGAGTAATGCTGAAGATGGGTTGATTCGAGTTATGGAAGGATTCAAAATGAAAAAACCAGTTAAAAATTGAAAGTGGCATGGGATTAGGTCAAGATGACCTCCGCATTTATCACTTTTAAGAGACAAACTGTACTGAAGAAATTTCTCGGGGCAAAGCATTTGCACAGGAAGGCAAAATATGCAGATAATAATTGCTTAAAAAGTCCTAAATCAAAATTGAGAATGCTTGGGTAATAAAAATTTTCAGTTGAATTATTATCTAACAAAAATTATTGAAATCCTTTTGAATACCAAGACAATAGTCGATATTGGCTTTTTGTGTTACAAATTTTCGATCAATTATTAGGATGCATCTCTTCAGCTTTGATATTATTTTGACGTAATTGGAAAAGAGGTTTTTCTAGGAAATACAGAGTTTATTGGGCTAAGCCCAATTTAAGCGTGACAACATAAGAGTTTGCATACTTTTTATAAAAATTCAGACTAAATTGTAATGGCGCAACATTTTTCTGACATCTAGTCATGTTATGGGCTCCCGTGTTTACATAGATGTTCGTGTCCTTTAAGATATGTCGCGTTACGCGGGGGCAGATTATAGTTCGTCGTGACCCATTTCGTACTGCTCTATATAGTAGTCTAAATATGGGTACTCCGAACACGCCAAGTACGAGACGCATTAGCAACCACCGACCAAAGCGGATGAAGTTGGTACTACGGTAGGCCAAATTCCAAGCGCTGTGACTAGGGCTGCAAAGTCAAAATATGACATGTAGGACTAGGTACAACTGGCCAATTGAGGTCGGACTCGTAGTGGCATGTCGCAAGTCCTCTGGCTAGTTACGTGTATTCCTGCCTGTTTCAAGGCGTAGATATATGCATCTCGGGGAACGCCATTACGAAGGTAGTAGAATTATAATTTCCCAAAGTTATGCCCTAGTAAGCGAGGTACTAAATTTCCGTCTTTCGGACGGGGGAAGCAAGGATTTAGGTCTAGTCATGTTAGTTAATATATCAACTTTATATTCATAAACGACGGGTGTAAGCCGAAAAGCTATTCCACAAGATGAGACGGCTCTCGCGGATGCGTTCGGGACTCAACTACCATACGTGTCTAACTCTTTATAAGAGGTGCTTCCTGCCGGTAGTCACTTATGTGTCCCCAGCCTAAAGGGACTTATGCAAATCAAAAGACTGGCTGACTCTCTATATCGGTAGCAATTAGTGATCTTAATGCACGAGTATAGCGGATAGACTCGTCAATCATTGGATTCGCCTAAACAACCTAATGACTCTGGTATTAACAGGACATGGTATATTTCGTGTATGTCGGGTACGATATGCCACCTAAACCAACCAAACTTGCCCTGACTGCAACAGGGAAGACTATGACACAGTGGAACATTCCTTGTTACACTGTCCCACATACAGAGACAAGCAGAAAGATCTCATATCGATTATATGTTTAGAAACAGATGTTGACCTTTGTTGAGGATTAATTAATTCTCAAGTTTGAATTGCCAGCTGACAGGAACTTCGGTGGCCATCTTGGGACTAGGTCGATAACCAATCGACCTAATAATCATTCATTCTCAATCTAGTCACTCATTTTACTAATTTTCACTGTCTTCTTTGACGAATGAAGTTCCTGTCACCATTTTTTCCCATTCTCGTCCACATTAACAAGACATTCTAAATCATTCAATCTAAATCTAATTTTCTTGAGACAATCTGTGAAGTTTGTGACATTCACAATAACAGAAATCATTCAGCTATTTATTTAGAAAAGAAATCAAATAATAATTCTAGACAATGATTAGTAAATTCGAGTAATTAAATTCTAATTCATTTTGCATTGCATGATAGGCTAACGCCACGTGCACAATCATAATCTTGCTTGACTTGAGAAACGTGTTGAGCTCGTGTGGGAGGTCAATAATACTGAACACACCGAGTTAAGCCAATTTTTTAGACATTCAATTATCATTCAGTAATTCCTACTTAACATTCTGTTATTATTCAGTAACTTGTAATAGTCCAGTCAAATGAGGGAAATGGGATAATTTTGGTTTGCTGCGGCCAAATTGATGATTTATAGATAACTGGATCGGAAATTAGGCGAGAAACACAATGGTGTAGGTTAAAATTGTTTAGCACGCATGGGGGGGGGAGTAAATCGCGTACAACCGCCCCCTATCGCGAATTTCTCGATTTCTATGATAGATATGAAAAAATGTTTTAAATAAAAGTTATTCAGAATTTAATTTCAATAAAAAAAGTACTGAACACTTTTTTTCATATCTATGATAGATAAAAACTTATTCCCGACTGAAGCTTTACTATTGACAAGTATGCCAATTTTTGCACGTTCCTGATGACCGGAAGTTATCCATTTGAATTTTTTTAAAAAAAAAAGAATGGGGGAAAAATTGATTATGTTGAAGAGAAAAAATTTATATCTCCCACATAATTACCTCAATCGATCTAAAAATGTGCATACATGTTTTTGACATATTCGAGAACATGAATGCACATTTTTAAATCAATTGAGGTAATTATGTGGGAGATATAAATTTTTTCTCTTCAACATAATTTTTTTTTGCGTCAAAAAATCAGAAAAAGTACCTAAAAAAGTATAGCTAGATCGACCGGAAATTCAATTCTCTATCGATCTATATATATGATTATTGGGCCTAAAATTGACAAATTTTCTCTAACATTTAAAGTGCGTAGAACTTAGAAAAATTCTCGCGCTGATAAATTCCGAGCTCGGAAAGACTTTTGAGTAACCAGCATGAGCCCAAAATATCCCCTCTTCACTCACCGTATAGTGTCTTTGTCACACTTACGGTTGGAGTGAGTATTTCACTCGCACTTACGCATTACAATACTCGGCGCGTGCGCAGAAGTTTTGTGTGAGTGCGAGTGAAGCAGAGGGATATGTATTGCTCTTTGTCGCACCCAACGGCGGCAGAAGAGGAAAAGTGCGCTCGGGGGCCAAAATATTTATACCTGTATAACTTTTAACAGGTGCAAAATAAACAAAAACTTTGCATAGATGAAATGTTTAATTTTTAATTCTGCACATCTTAAGCCCAAAATCGGGCTGATCGGTGCATTTGAACTAAAATGAGAAGGATTTAAATAATTTATTATTAATAAAAATAATGAAAAAATTCATTAAAAAAAAAAAATTTTCCCTGAAAATGTAATTTGATATCTCATTTTTCGAAATAGATCGCCACAAAGTAATATTTATAGCATTAAGTATTTTTTATAATTTTCTTAGACGCGTCTGAAGCTTTTGTCAATAGTAAAGCTTCAGTCGGGAATAAGTTTTTATCTATCATAGATATGAAAAAAAGTGTTCAGTACTTTTTTTATTGGAATTAAATTCTGAACAACTTTTATTTAAAACATTTTTTCATGTCAATTTTAACCTACACCATTGTGTTTCTCGCAAAATGTCCGATCCAGTCATCTATAGATCATCAATTTGGCCGCAGCAAACTAAAATTATCCCATTTCCCTCATTTGACTGGACTATAAGTGACACTCATTCAGTTTTAGTGACTACGACTTGTACAGTGTCATTATTGTTCATTGATTGTACTACTAAATAAAGATTGATATATTTTTGTACACCTGACTTCTCAATGGCTCTGTTCCGGCTCGATCATTCCTATCCTTACCGGCTAGGTTCTTCAAAATTGACATTTTTTTAACAACCTTAATCAACTTGGCCTGAAATAGCGCCGAAACTTGTCCGAATTACAGATGCATGTAGATCGCTCAAACAATTTGTGGAAACGGGTGCGGAAAAGAAAGTATTCAAGGAAATTAGGCAAATTAGGGCGTAAGAGAGCAGAGAAGAGAAGCGCGAACGGGAGCAGTAATGTCCATTAGACAGATTTCTTCACCCCGTAAAAATAGTAGGTAAATACAACCAGCTTCATAAACACGTAGCTCGTGAATTACATTTCTTTCAACGATAAATGTTTTCTTTTGCTAAAATAAAAGTTACTAACAGCGCAAAATAAATAGAAATAAAATTTTCCTGCTCATAGCAATTACATTTGTTACTAAAAATCGGAAACGGAATCTATGCAATATTTTTGAGTTATTTCGAGGGGAAATTTTTCCGTTCACTGAAAAAGAGTTACTAACAACGGAATGTAATTATCAACAAACTCTTCTTTTTTATAAATAAATTCATTCTTAATAATTAAAAAAGGGAAGCTAAACAATATATTCAAGCATTTTTAACAGGAATTTTTTTCTTTTGCAGAAAAATAGTTATTTTCTACGAAGCAGAAATAGGAGTAAACTCATTTTGGTAATAGCAATAACATTTATTAGAAAAAATTAAAAAAGCGATATATGCTATTAATTCAATATTTTTTAACATTAAATTTTGTCTTTCGCTAAAATGAGTTACGAACAACGTAAAATGGAAATAAACAAACTTAATTTTTTTATAATAATCAAAGAAGAGATCTTTGTTATTAACTCGAGTTCTTTCAACAAGAAATTTTTTCTTTTATTGGAGATGGATTATTAACTCTATCACATAGGTATGACAGATCTTTCTTAAAAATTATATTTGTTTTCTACAACTTTAAATAATTTATTGAGTTGTTCAAAAAACTTATAGCTAACACTCGGGCGTTTTTATTGATCAAGTTTCCTACAAAACATTGACAACGAGCAGCTATTTATTAAGTTTCTTGGGATGATGTCAGTAAAACGTCTCGCAATGTACACGTTCTGAATGACTCTGCAAATAACAAAATCCTTACTTTCGAACAATTATTAAGGAGAATTGTAAAACAGTTAAAAAGGTAGATATCCAATGGAATGCCATGCCATCTATAAAATTAAGTCTTTTTTCATTAATTTTGATAAAGATTCTTAAAAATACTTGTTCGAGTTTTCTATGAATAATTTGAAAAGTAATTTTGAAGGTAAAAAGTCATAATAAATTTTTTTTGCAATTAATTTTTACTCAATTCAAATAAGTAGTTAATTCAATAAAAACTTTATAAGACTTGGCCCAATTTTTGTAGTGTTCTCTATTGATAGACAATATCCGGACATGGGTCTCGAACATCTATAAAAGGGTAAATGGTATTTATTGAATTAATTTAGAAAACAGTTTCTTCAATATCTTTATATTGATCGTCCTGGCGTGTATTACTCTCTAACAATGACATTTTCCATATAAAAATGGTTTTCTCTTACTTTTAGACAGTTTGTACTTTGACTATGTTCGTTTTTTCCCTAGAATGCAAAAATACGGATCTACTTTTTTTCTGTTCTCGTGATCACAATCGGTTTTTTCAAGAAATAAGCGATAGATTTTTTAAAATTGAATTTTGATTATTTCTAAGCTTTGTGAATATGAATTAATTACAACTGTTGATTGTGTACTGATCTGTATTATTCTTTATGTAGATTATACATCCATTATGTGTATAATATCGATTTGGGTGGCTATGTTAAGTAGGCCATTTCACCCCTAAAAAAGGCGTGTTGGCAAGAGGAAAAAAATACTTGTCTCTTCAAATTGAATGGGAAATAATCCATATTAGCCAAAAAAAAAATCAGAGTCGACACGTCGAGTTAAAATTTTTTTTGTCCATTATTAATACACACGAATTTATAATCTTGTTTTAATTCTATCACAATGTGTTATTCATCTAGAGGTGGGCTATTCAAACTATAAAATCATTATTCAAAATTTCACTTGATTAATTTGTTATAATTGAACACAATTATGTCACAATGATCGTTCAATAAAAGATTCTTCAAATATGCTGGAATTCTTTTATTCTATTATTGTTTCTACCAGTCTAACAGTCAAATGAAGTCACTTCAGCTAATTATAAAAATCGTCGAAATCTAATTCTAATGTACTTAATGTTTAGATATAAAACTTATTTCAGTAATTAGGTTAAGAACGGTATCGAATTTGTTACCTCTAATAGTTCGTCACCAGAACGTAACGTTCCATCTTTTCCAACGGGACCTTCTGGAAGTATTGAACGAATATAATGATGCGGTCGTACTTCTTGACCATTTTCAACATCAACGGTTCCTTCTAAGCTGATACCTAAACCACCGTCTTCAGAGAATTTTTTCAACTGTGCGATCTGTAATTCAATATGAGACAAGGTTTAAAATCTACGATAATAGTTGATTTGATATAAAAACGTAGATAACTCTAAAAAAATGATAAAATTATGATAAACATGAAACAAATGATTAAGTAGTTTACCTACTTATCATTTGAGCATTGCTTAGTTTCCCTTTTAATTATTAGGTGTCTCTAGTGTATAACATGTATAGATATACACTCCGTAGTCATATATCTAATACTCCTATATTGCTAGTTCCCGTAAGTGGGCGCCCGGCCTATGAAGTGAGACAGAAAATGAATATGTCTGTCTCTTTCTTTTCATTTGAACTGTATGCGCAAGCGTCACTACCGTAGAAGGAGAATTGGCAATTGGAGAAGGGCAAGCCACCTTCCTTTCACAACTTAAAATTGAGTTATAGTCGATTGGTTTCTGTATGCTTCGTAGCTCAGCGGTAAAGCTCCCGACTCCGGCAGTGAGTCTCGGGTGTTCAAATCTTCTTTTTTTTTCCTTCATTCTTTTCTTTTCTTTATTATTAAATTTATAATAAATAAAATAATCTAAAGTTGTATGAACAAATAAATTTTTATTGTTCAATAATTCTAATTCAATTCGATGACTATAAATAATATTGTTAAATACCACTACAAATTAAATTGTTTTATAAAAAATACAATTGAAAGTTTTTGAAGAATTAAAATTTTAAAGTCTTTTTCCCAAGTTGCCCAAACTCCTTGAGTTTGACCCAACATTCACAGTAATGAAATAACATGTACTGAATGCAAAAAATAATAATTAAATCAATTATTGTTCCTTTACATTATTATTTTTGTATTAGATTTTACAAACTACATACTAATCACTTTTGTACATCACCACAATAGTTGACATTGCTCTCCTATTTTTTAATTATACATGAATGTGATGATAAATGAATAATCATGATTATTAATTTAAAAAATATTTTTTTTCCTGTTTGTATTTCAATGACAGTTATTAATCACTAAATACAATTAAAATGTGATAATGATAATTATAAATAGTATACAAGCTATTGGATTTTAAATATCTTTATTTAATATTTAAAAGTTTACTTTCTAAAAAATGTAGCATTCATGAGCTCTGAAATTAATTTTAAACAATTGACAAATAGAAATGTTTTTTTTTTTGTTAATGAAAAAAGATTTTATTTCATTTTTTTAAAATGAAGTTTGCATATTCTACTTCTTATAAGCAGCTTCATTCAAATGAACAACATATTCGAAACAGGCATTTTAGAAAAAATGGAGAATTGGTTATTAATGAAGTCAATTAAAATATATAAAAAATTGAATGTAGCATGTAAAACAGACGCTATTTTATATGCAAAATGACGCTATTCTATTTGCAAAGGATGCTATCTCATTTCTTGTACAAATTGAAATGCTATCTAATGCGCACGCTCCATTCACGATCATGCGCACAAGTCGCAGCGTATAATAAGTGAGACAAACGCATATATGTCTGCACTGTAATGCTTAAGTCTCCCTCCCTATACCGACTTGCAATATAGGAGTATTACATATATGTCAGTAGTAAACCAAACGTTAGTTCTCAATATCGCCAATTGTCGAAGGTATACTGGTGGGAAAAAAACATAACAAAACGAGGCCTGTGAGGCATTGAGAACATTCATTTCCTGAGTGAAATAAGAGTAAGGCTCTTAAACCGTCAACACTAGGAAAGTAAGTGCTATACACTACTATCCTGATAACCCCTAAGACTCGTGTTAGACTCGGTCATCTCGAGAACGTAAGACGTTCTTCTCCGCCGCATAATTCATCGTCTTGCAAGTCGGAAACTTGCTTGCGAAACATCCTGAATAAGTAGCCCTTCTAGCTACCCAATAGATATTTCTTCCTTTTTCTTACTCATAGAGAACTAGCTGTTTAGTTTGTGTTCATTATAAAAAGTAAAAATTATTATTTTTTTCGTTTGATTATTAATCTTGTTCATTTATTATTCCATTAATCATTTAAATGTAAATATTTTAAAGTTCAGTATTCGTTTAATACATTTTTTCTTAAAAATAAATAAGCTTGATCAAGTTATTTAAATACTTTCAAGTTTTCTAGTTTACCGACTTCTTCGGAAAACCCGGGAAACCCAGAAGCGAGTAGCACAAAGTGAATTTCTTAATGAAACCGTTACATAATTTAGATTATTAAAATAATTTCTCCTTGTCCTTCAAAATCAGCTGTTTCAATAGTCTTATTAATATGTCTAACCTAAATTTACATTATAATAGTTATTATAAAGGCCTTATAGTATTTTTCATGCCGAATAATGATGATCTTTATTTGTATTTTGTAGCGTAGGATAGTAGTTATGAGTTAGTATTGGTTAGTTGTTAATTAGGATTAAGTTACATGTCAATTTATTAAGGATTAATGCAAACCAAGGCTAAGAGAATCAGTTAGGCGTGAAAATTAGTGATAGTGATAGTGACACTCGATTAGTGTCACCCTGCAGCTCTCCTATGCTGGGAGACTTCCTAGCCCTAAGGTTTGTAGTCACAAGGCGTTTACTAATCAAATGGGACTCCAGAGAAAGATGGAAGTGTAGAAGAGGCCGTAAGATTGATTATTATTAGTTCTGAGTAACCCCTCTACATGAAAATCTAGGAGAAGTCACGTAAAGATAGTCCCCAATAAGAAATATGATTTGACAAATTAAAGACAATTTCGCTTGGAGAGAGGAGACAGTCAAGAGAATCAATGAATTGGAGCTTAAAGATTTTAAATATGAATTTTTATGGAGAGTCGATTACGAACTGAGCTCATGGGAGTCGAGTGTGACCATTTTGGTGAGAGAGAAGAGATGAAGAGATGACAATCAGGACTACTATCGGCATAAAAAGTATAGACCCCTTACTTTCAAAAGTGATATAAAAGAAAAATATCAGTGCTCTGCAGTGGTCTGGGTGCGACCCGAAAGGTCCACATGACCAACTTCCCAGTGGAAAAAATGAAAAAAATAATTCGAATAGAACCCGTTTCCATTCTTTATAACAAATGGAATTGTTATAAACAAAATGAAAGTGTTTTTATTCATTTAATATGGTTAGTTACTTCATTTCAGTAAAAGAAAAAATCGTGCGTTAGAAGAATTCGAATATATCTCATAGATCCTTTTTTTCATTATTTACAACAAATTTTATTGTTATACACGAAAAAAGTATGTTTTCATTTATGTCATACGGTTAGTAACATTTTTTTAGTAAAAGAAAAATTTATGCGTTAAAAGTACTCATATATATGGAAAGGGTCCCTATTTTTATTGTTTATAAGAATTCAAAACTTATTATTTAAATATTACTATGATCAATAATCACTTGTTAGTAACAATGTTCAATTGTTATGAACATAATTCCATATTATTGACAATTATTATTGACTATTATATCGTCTTTAATGCTGTTTTCTCAATCCTGACACGAGTTTAAAATTCTTTCATTGCTGATTTTGTTTTTTAAAATTTTTTTTTCGATGAAATATTGTCACCATATTCTCATACAAGTATTCGAACCATTTAATATTCATATTTTTAAAGGTTACGGAATTTTGTCTGAAAAATAATATAATTCATAACTTGCAAAATTCAGGTCCGCAATTATCTGTACTGTAATCTTGATGTTTTTCATGATTGTACAGTATTTTATCAACATTAAGATATTTCATAAGCTCATGTGGTGGCTGCAAATTGCCAAAACTGTCATAATATATAACTTTATTACCACGTTTTTCATATGCCACTCAATGAGTTCCAGGTCCAGTTTTATTATCGAGATTAATAATTGCTGATTCATTTTTCCATGGTGTCGATTTTGGAAGATCATTTTGCATAAAAACACCACGAAAAAAGGGTATTTTGCATATTTTTGAAGGTCAATATCAGTCAGTGCACGATGGGGCAAATTTAAAAGTTTTTTTTCTGCCGGTTTCAAATACAATCCTCATTCCCAATTTTTGTTTAACTTCCATGACCTTGGGTATTCCTAAAGCAACAATTCGTTCAGCAATATCTGCGTCTCTCGCAAAAACACATTTCATAGATTTTTCAGCAAGTATTCTATCAGCTGCGTTTCTAGCTTTGATGTTATCTCGATTTTGCGAATATGCAATATCGTGTTCTTTACGAGCAGCGTCCGATGGATTGATTCCTGGATCTCCAGGTGCTCATCTCTCCTTCAATTTAGTTTCCGGACCACAATAATAATATCCTGGTATATGAAGTTCAAATGGCAATTTGTTTATAAGTGTGTTAACAATACCAGCAACTCGTTTTTTGATACGTCTTTGCACTATCATTGTGCAAGAACGACTAACTCGACACCTGTAGAAGATGTAAATTTATAGCTAGAATGTCATTCTACATCAAGATAAAGTTCAATCAACAAGACATTAAGTTGCCTGTAATTAACTTTGACCTATGACAAGACACAAATATCAAACGTCACGGACAACTTTTACCAAATAGTGTCCGTGGTTTTATGTGTGGTCCATCAAATTGTGGAAAGACAAATACTCTTTTAGCACTTATTGTGCATCCAAATGGCCTACGATTTGAGAATATTTATTTGTATTCAAAATCATTCAACCAACCTAAATGTCAGTTTTTAAAAAAAAAATTGAACCAATTAAAGGTATCAAATTTTATGCTTTAAATGAGCATGAGGAAGTGGTGAAACCGGATGAAGCAAAACCCTATTCAATTATAATTTTCGATGACGTAGCATGCGAAAAACAAGATAATATGTGAACCTATTTTTGTATGGGACGACACAGAGATATTGAATGCTTCTATCTTTGTCAAACTTATGCACGAATTCCTCAACATTTGGTGCGTGACAATACAAACTTTTTTGTACTTTTCAGGCAAGATGACATGAATCTAAAACACATTTACGATGATCATGTAAAAACACACAATAGCTGGATTAACATAAAAGATTTATAATGTCTCTAACTGATGAG